CTTCTGTCCGTGGCCTCCCTGGGTCAGCGCTGGTGGCCACCGGAGGCCCAATTCCAGCGGCGGGGCCGGGGTCTCCAGCCCCAGCCCCAGCCCCCAACCCCGCACGTGCTGTCTCTGCAGGATGCCCCTGGGCGGGGCCTGGTCTCCCTGGCTGCCCCCTGGGCCCCGGCCTGGGGTTATGGTTTCAGAACCTGCCGGTGCTGCTGCAGAAGGGACCCTGCGACCGAGATGAGGAAGGAGCCCCCTCACCACCTGCCCAGCCGAGGAGCGGAGCTGCATGTGGGGTGGTGGGCAGGCTGGGGGGAGAGGGGGAGGGGCGGAACTCGGCACCAATAAAGGAGAATCAGACCCAGACACTGGGAGTTGGTTGTGTCCACTTGGTGTCATCGAGGCAACCCCTGTGTAGCGGGGCTGTCAGATGGAAGGGGGCCCCATCCACCCAGCCGGGACTGTGACCACACCCAGCTGCCCTTTACACCTGGCGGCCACAGCTGGCCCCTCATCCTTATCTCTGGCATCAGTGCCGCCTCCTGTACATCGACTAAGCACCGCAGGGCCCCGCCCCCCCTTGTCTTCATTAGGAAACAGTCAAGGGCTCAGGGGGAGCCCGGACAGACTCTCAGCTCCTGCCCCGGGGCCCGTGTGGTCAGTGTTTCCGGAAGGGGCAGTGGGGAGGGTGTGGAGGGGCCAGGGAGGCTCAGGCGGGCAGGAAGAGGGGAGGGCAGAGGTGTCACCTGGGGTGCCAGGAGTCCACTCTGGCATGAGGACTCCGGACCCTCTGTCTTGTGTGGCCTCAGACCAGTGGCTTGACCCCTCAGAGCCTGTGGAGTATGGAGCATGCAGGGCTTGCAGGCGACGGTGAGGGCACAGTGCAGGGTTGGGACACTGAGCCCAGCCCCAGCCACGAGAGGCCAGAAGCTTCGGTGCACAGGCCTGGAGAGGAATGACTCCACTCCCCGCCTCACCACAGCCCCTTCCTCGCCCCGACCCCAGTCAGTGGCCTCTCCCTAGAGCTGGGGGCTTGCGGGGGCCAATGAAAAGAGCAGGGCAAGTGTCAAGACTCACCTCACCCCCTCTGTTGGGCACCAGGGCTCCCCAGGAGCTCCCACCTGCCCCCCACAGCCCCGCCTTAGCCTTGGTTACTAAGGCCCTGTCCAGCCCCACCCTGAGAAGCTGGCTTGTCTCTGGGGCAGGCAGGCAGGGGTGTCCCTAGGACACAGTGAGGAGAGTCTCTTCCTTCAGAACCTGCCATCAGGCAGGCAGGGAGGTGGCGAACACTCAGGTTCTGAGCCTCAGGGGTTGGCCTTCAGAATTTTGCCTGAGGTAGAGCTTCGGGGAGGAGCCAAGCAAGGGCAGCCTGGGCTAGGGAGGCAGGTTTCAGACACCCCAACACCAACGGCTTCTCTCCACCACCCTAGCTCTGCCCCTGCCCCGCCCCAGCCCCATGGCACCCGTGAGCCGTTCTCTAGTCCTTTCTGCCCTGTGCCTCGGTGTCTGTGGCCTGAGACCCCTGGTTAATCCCTGTACTCAGTCTAACTTGGGCCAAATGACTGCCCCCCTTCTGGCAGTGGGCCGGACCCGCCGGCCAGCGGGAGCCCCCTTGGCAGAGGCCGGTTGTAAAGGATCATAAAGTGGGCGGCGTCTGGCTGGGGCGAAGGTCGCTGAGGTAGGAACTGCGCCAGTCCTGGACGTCAAACCCACTCGGACCCTCCTGCCAGGTGACAGACGCCAAGATGGGGTCTTGGGCCCTGCTGTGGCCTCCCCTGCTGCTCACGGGGCTGCTTGGCCGACCCCCGGGGGCCGTGGCCCAGGTCCAGTGTACGTGCGGGCAGGGGTAGGTAGGTGGGGGCACAGGGTGGGGGGAGCCAGGGGCTGGGAGGCGCTGACCCCTCCTCTGCAACCTTACAGACTGCTCTGTGAACAAGTCCTTCTTTGAAGTCAAGGAGAACACAAATGTCACCAAGCCGCTGGTGGACATCCATGTCCCAGAGGGCCAGGAGGTGACCCTCGGACCCTTGTCCACCCCCTTCGCATTTCGGATCCAGGGAAACCAGCTGTTTCTCAACGTGTCTCCTGATTACGAGGTGTGGGCGGCAGGTGGGTGGGGAGTGGGGGCTCCCGGGAGAAGGGCGCCTGGATCTTCAGGCCACACCTTCCCTGGGGGGCCCAGGAGTTCTATGCCTGCAGGCATCCACTAACACCCATGCTTGGTGGTGCCTGCCCTAGAAGGCTGGGCCATTTCGGGATGAAGGCTGGGCCCACACCCTCAGCACTGACCACTGATGATGGGGACCCTGGGCCAGCGCCTGCCCCCTTGGCCTCAGTCTCACCACCTGTGGGGCGGGACAGTGACTGCAGACCCATCTGCCTCCACAGGAGAACTCACTACTTGAGGCTCAGCTGCTGTGTCAGAGCGGAGGCACGCTGGTGAGTCCCTGCCCCACTCTCCCCGCCCACCAGGCCACCTCAGCTGGGCTCTGCCCTGCCGGTCCAGGGCCAGTCTCTGATGACCTCACCTAGGGTGTGGTTTCACATGCCATCCCTCCGAGAGTGATGCTCACATTTCCTCCAGTCCAGACTCTGCCCTGAACTGTGGCGTCCCCGTCACTGATCCCTTGTCCAGCAGATACCCCCACCCAGTGTGCCCAAGACTCCCACCCACTCCCTCAACCACCACTGCCAGGGAGGCACAAGGGAGGCACCTTTATCCTGCCAGCCACTGGAACCACTTTGGTTTCCACTCGCCCTCCCTCCCCACGTCCCCCGCTAAGCTCCCCATTGGTAAATCACTTGGCTCTGCCCCAGCTCGACCCAGAAATCCACCGTCTGCCCACCTCCACTCCCACCAGGGCCGGGACACCAGCACTCATTTTGGGAAACTTTCAGCCGGCCCGCTGGCTTCCCCGTTGCCCCTTGCCGGTCCCAGTCCACTCCATGCGGCGGAGCAGCCTCTGTGGACGCTGTAAACCAAGGCTGCCCAGTCCACCCCAGCCCTCCACAGCTCCTTTCTCACTGAGAGTCAAACCCAGATGTACTGTGCGGAGGCTCTGCTGCAGCCTCAGAGCTCCCGCAGGCACGCTCCTCCCTCACCTGCTCAGGTCTGCAGTCTTCAGAGAAATCCCAACCGCCCTATTAGGGAATAGTTGCATCCCAGCCCCGCTCCCCCAACATCCTACTTCTTGACCAGCGGCATTTTTTTCGGCTTTATTAAGGAAAATTGCAGAATCCTGAGGCCAGCACAGGCCCCCGCCCCCCCCCCACCTACCAGCAGACAGAGGGCTCTGTGCCCACCGCACACCACAGCACATCACCCACATATATCTTGGCATGTGTCTCTGAAAGAGAGGGATGCTTCTTTTTTTTGAGACAGAGTCTCGCTCTGTTACCTAGGTTGGAGTGCAATGGCGAGATCTCGGCTCACTGCAACCTCCGCCTCCCGGGTTCAAGTGATTCTCCTGCCTCAGCCTTCCGAGTAGCTGGGATTACAGGTGCCCACCACCATGCTTGGCTAATTTTTGTATTTTTGGTAGAGACAGGATTTCACCATGTTGGTCAGGCTGATCTCAAACTCCTGACCTGGTGATCCGCCCGCCCCAGCCTCCCAAAGTGCTGGGATTTCAGGCATGAGTCACTGTGCCTGGCCGGGATCCTTCTTTTTTTTTTTTTTTTTGTTTGTTTTTTTTTTTAGATGGAGTCACCCTCTGTCGCCTGGGCTGGAATGCAGTGGCACGATTTCCGCTCACTACAACCTCTGCCTCCCAGGTTCAAACGATTCTCCTGCCTTGGCGTCCACCCACGTCGGCCTCCCAAAGTGCTGGGATTACAGACGCCCGCCACCACACCCAGCTAATTTTTGTATTTTTAGTAGAGACGGGGTTTCGTCATGTTGGCCACATTGGTCTCGAACTCTTGACCTCAGGTGATCTGCCCGCCTCGGCCTCCCAAAGTGCTGGGATTCCAGGCGTGAGCCACCCACCATGCCTGCCAGGACTCTTCTTTTTGAAACATAACCACAATGTCGTCACACCTGGGAAAAGTGGTCACTTTCTACCTCGAATGTTCAGGATGCCGCACTCCCCATGGTCTCTGAAGGGTTTTAACAATGGTTTGTTGGCTCAAGCCTGTAATCCCAGCACTTTGGGAGGCCGAGGTGGGTGGATCATGAGGTCAGGAGATCGAGACCATCCTGGCTAACACGGTGAAACCCTGCCTCTACTAAAAATACAAAAAACTAGCCGGGCGTGGTGGCGGGCGCCTGTAGTCCCAGCTACTCGGAGGCTGAGGCGGGAGAATGGCGTAAACCCGGGAGGCGGAGCTTGCAGTGAGCCGAGATCGCGCCACTGCACTCCAGCCTGGGCCACACAGCGAGACTCCGTCTCAAAAAAAAAAAAAAAAATTGTTTGTTTGAATCAGGGTCCACGTTATGCACCTAGCTGATAATTCTCCTGAGTTTCTGTTCATCTTCACGTTTCCTTCTCCCATCTTTTCTCTTGGAGATTTATTTGTGAAGAAACTGGGTTGTCGGCTGGGCGCGGTGGCTCACACCTGTAATCCCAGCACTTTGGGAGGGAGTTTGAGACCAGCCTGACCAACATGGAGAGACCCCGTCTCTTCTAAAAATAAAAAATTACCCGGGTGTGATGGCAGGCGCCTGTAATCCCAGCTACTCGAGAAGCAGAGGCAGGAGAATCGCTTAAACCTGGGAGGCAGATGTTGCAGTGAGCCAAGATTACGCCACTGCACTCCAGCCTGGGTGACAGAATGAGACTCTGTATCCAAAAATAAAACAAAGAAAAGAACTAGATTGTCTTTCCTCACTTGAGATTCTGCTGGTTGCATCCCCAAGTACCTGCATTATTTTTCTGTGGCGCACCTGCCACCTCCTGGCTTTATAAAGTCCTTTTTGTCTGTTGTTGTAAGTCCTGCCAGGACAGGCACCACCGGGCAGAGATTTGTCTCTTGTGATCTCTGCATCCCAGCACCTAGAGCTGTGCAGCCCCCCTGCAGCCCCCCAACACCACTGAGCGAGTGAGTGGATGGATAGCCGTCGAGGGGTGCACCTCACTCACGATGGGGACAGACAGCCGTCGAGGGGTGCACCTCACTAATGATGGGGAAGGATAGTGTCGAGGGGTACACCTCACTCATGATGGGGAGTGGCTGTGGGAGAGGCTGATGGCCACATCCTGCAGGTGACCCAGCTGAGGGTGCTCGTGTCAGTGCTGGACGTCAATGACAACGCCCCCGAATTCCCCTTTACAACCAAGGAGATAAGGGTGGAAGAGGTGAGGCCAGCGAAGCTGCCAGGGCTGGGGAGGGGGTGCGGGAGCCCAGGGTGAGGGCAGGGGTGAGTGGTGGCCGGGGGCTCAACCACAGCGGGGGTCCACAGGGGCCAAGAGTGTGGCCAGACCAAGCCCCTCTCCCTCCCTAGGACACTAAAGTAAACTCCACCGTCATCCCTGAGACAGAACTGCAGGCCGAGGACAAAGACAAGGATGACATTCTGTTCTACACCCTCCAGGAAGTGACCGCAGTCAGTGCCGCCCGCCCTGCCCCAGCGTGAGCCCCTCGCCACTGACACCCGCAGCCGCCCTCGCCCTCCCAGGCTCTTAGGCTGTGTCCTCCCTGATCCTCCCCAGGGTGCCAGTGACTACTTCTCCCTGGTGGGTGTAAACCATCCCGCCCTGAGGCTGGACCGGCCCCTGGACTTCTACGAGCGGCCCAACATGGCCTTCCGGCTGCTGGTGCGGGTGAGCGGCTCACCCCAGCCCTGAGTCCCACACGCTTGAGGTCCCCCTGGTCCCAGCTGCTCCCAGGCCTGATCTGGCTGTTGCAGGACACTCCGGAGGAGAATGTGGAGCCCAGTCACACGGCCACCGCCACGCTGGTGCTGAAGGTGGTGCCTGCCGACCTGCGGCCCCCCTGGTTCCTGCCCTGCACCTTCTCAGATGGCTACGTCTGCATCCAAGCTCAGTACCACGGGGCTGTCCCCACGGGGCACACACTGGTAATGGGGAGGGAGGGGCAGTGCCCGGGGCAGGGCCTTCTAGGCAGGTTGGAGGCAGGGACGGCCAGGATCAGAAGAAGGGCAGGGTCAAGGTCAGCGGGTGGGGCCAAGTTTGGTTGTGACTTTGAAACAAATACAGACTCTCCTTGTAAACCAGTCTTTCCCATCTTGAGGGGGTGAGGGAGCAAACCCTGAACACACAGAGAGGAGTGTGGGCCCCAGAGCCAGGCGGTCTCAGGGGCCTGGGGAGGTGGGCTGGGGCCCTGGAGTTCTTAAGGGATGGTGAGATCTCTGCCCTGCTCACAGTCACCACTAGGCCCACACAGGCTGTCTGCAAACCTTCACAGCACCAAGGCACCCGGGGCCACCAAACAGCACATGAGAGGCAGAAACGCAGACCCCGGGAACCCCCCGCTTCCTAAATGTCTGCTTAGCCGTCAAGACAAGCATCGTGCAAATGGCACTCAGTATCTTTGGGCAACTTATTTGTTAGTGAGGGACCCACAGGGGTGTGACTCACTGTGATACTGGGACAAGGGACAGTCCTAGACAGGCAGGGATGCCCGGCCACCAGCGGGACTGGGCCCCTCCTCAGCCAGCCCTGCCCTGGCTGACCTTGATGGGGAGCCAGAGGGGCCAGGTTGGGGCCATCCACCCCAGCCTCACGACGTGCCCTCCTCTCCACCATCCTTGAAGCCATCCCCCCTCGTCCTGCGTCCCGGACCCATCTACGCCGAGGATGGAGACCGCGGCATCAACCAAGCCATCATCTACAGCATCTTCAGTGGTGAGTGGGGCCCAGCCCTCAACAATGCCCTGGACCCCTCTCTGTCCCTGTCTCTGTCCCCACCTTGGGCTGGGGAAGCCCCAGGGGCACCTGCCAGCAAGGCAGAGCTGGCTGGGTCCCTGGGCCTCAGGAGGCCGGGACTGAGCACTTCCATCGTCCTCCCAGGAAACGTGAACGATACATTCGTCATCCACCCAGACTCCGGCAACCTCACCATGGCCAGGAGTGTCCCCAGAGCCATGACCTTTCTTCTGCTGGTGAAGGTGAGGTAGGGACCTGCACGGGGGGCAGGGCAGTGGGGGCAGGGTGGAAGGTAGGGCGGGGGTCAGGGCGGGGGGGCAGGGCCCCTGCCAAGTCTGCATCTATTCTTCCTGAGCCCCAGGCTTCAGCACCAGCTCCACCGTCAACCCCACGAGTCACGGCTGCCTCCCCTGCCTCCAGGGCCAGCAGGCTGACCTTGCCCGCTACTCAGTGACCCAGGTCACCGTGGAGGCTGTGGCTGCAGACGGGAGCCCGCCCCGCTTCCCCCAGAGCCTGTACCGTGGCACCGTGGCACTTGGCGCTGGAGCAGGTGTTGTGGTCAGGGATGCAGCTGCCCCCTCTCAGCCTCTGAGGGTCCAGGCTCAGGACCCGGAGTTCTCGGTAGGTAGCACACGCAAGGCTGATGCCTGCTGCCCCCACGGCAGCCTTCCTGTTGCCCAGGGTCCCTGGGTCCACCCGGCCTCCCCTCTGTGGGTGGGTCAGGGCTGCAGATGGGAGGTAGCCTGGCCGGGGACTCAATGAAACCCTGTCCAGGACCTCAACTCGGCCATCACGTATCGAATTACCAACCACTCACATTTCCGGATGGAGGGAGAGGTTGTGCTGACTACCACCACACTGACCCAGGCGGGGGCCTTCTACGCAGAGGTGAAGGGCAGGGCAGGTGGGCATCTCCAAGGGTGTGGGGCTTAAAGACGTGCCCAGGAGGGACAAGCCCCTTTCTGCCCCAGGTTGAGGCCAAAAATACAGTGACCTCTGGCACTGCGACCACAGTCATTGAGATACAAGTTTCCGAACAGGAACCCCCCTCCACAGGTGAGCCCCCATCCCCAGAGACTGGAGGAACAACTGGGCCCTGGACCAGCACCACTTCTGAGGCCCCCAGACCCCCTGTGCCCTCCCAGGGACCCTCCACAACCAGCTCTGGGGGAGGCACAGGCCCTCATCCACCCTCTGGCACAACTCTGAGGCCACCAACCTCGTCCACACCCGGGAGGCCCCCGGGTGTGGGAACCAGCACCTCCCACCAACCAGTCACACCCGGTGGCGGCACCGCACCGACCCCAAAGCCAGGAACCTCTCAGCCGATGCCCCCTGGTGTGGGAACCAGCACGTCCCACCAACCAGCCACACCCGGTGGCGGCACAGCACAGACCCCAAAGCCAGGAACCTCTCAGCCGATGCCCCCCGGTGTGGGAACCAGCACCTCCCACCAACCAGCCACACCCGGTGGCGGCACAGCACAGACCCCAAAGCCAGGAACCTCTCAGCCGATGCCCCCCGGTGTGGGAACCAGCACCTCCCACCAACCAGCCATACCCGGTGGTGGCACAGCACAGACCCCAGAGCCAGGAACCTCTCTGCCGATGCCCCCCAGCAGGAACACCCCATCCTCAGGTAGCACCCACTCCGTCGTTGCCTTCCCTCCCTGGCTCAGATCACTGGGTGGTAGGGAAATGCTGTAGGAAGGGTCCACCCCAGGTTGACCTGGCCTATGAAATCCCAGAGGGGTCTGTTTGGGACTGACAGACACAGACAGGCCAAAGGCCCTCAGTGAGGTGAACTGTGATGTGTGTAGGACAGAGGCCAGATTTGGGGTCCAGCGAATCCCATGATTCCCACAGCTGCCGGCTCACCCTGCAGGCCCCTGCCCCTCCTGTGAGCAGCCTCCTTGGTCGGGGGGGGGGGCCCAGGGTCTCACTGGGACACACAGGCCCCTCCAGCCAGGGTCAGCAGAGCCTGAGATTTGGGAGACAGCCCAGGCCTGGGTGATTTCCAAGTGTCTCAAGCCTGGCACAGGTTGGCATGGGGAATGCCTGGGGCGCTCAACAGTGCGGGGGTGATGGCATTTTCCACAGCGATGCCAGGTGGCGGCCCCTCGGAGGACAAGCGCTTCTCAGTGGTGGACATGGCAGCCCTGGGTGGGGTGCTGGGTGCACTGCTGCTGCTGGCTCTCCTTGGCCTCACTGTCCTTGTCCACAAGCACTACGGCTCCCGGCTCAAGTGCTGCTCCGGCAAAGCTCCGGTGAGGCCCAGGGTGGAGGGCAGGGCAGGCGACCCGCAGGGAGTGGGGGACAGGAGAGGGGAGGGCAGAGGGGAATATGTGGAGGCGGAGGGGTGTCCACCGTGGAATGAAGGTGTGGAGAGGCCACAAGGCAGCAGAGACCCAGGGACCCCGCTGACGTCTTCACTCCCGCTAACAGGAACCCCAGCCCTCAGGCTGTGACAACCAGGCGTTCCTCCCTGACGACGAGGCCAACTGGGCGCCCGCCCCCAGCCCCACGAGCGACGCCAAGCCCGCGGAGGCACCGCCGACGCCCGCGGAGCCCGCGCCCCCGGTGTGGGAACCAGCACCTCCCACCAACCAGTCATACCCGGTGGCGGCACAGCACAGACCCCAGAGCCAGGAACCTCTCTGCCGATGCCCCCCAGCAGGAACACCCCATCCTCAGGTAGCACCCACTCCGTCATTGCCTT